TAAATTGAACTAAATATTTGAAATATTTCTGATATTATACGTTTAGAAGGTGAAATGCTTTATTAGCGTATTTTGTTTTCACATCCAAAATTTACTCCAAGTAGAAAATAAAATAAAAAAAATTTTAAATAAAATGTGAGCAGTAAAACAGCAATGCCAACACTTGAATTAGTCATTTTGGGCCAGTGATGCATACAACACCACCAACAGCAATAGCAACACCAACAGCAATAGCAATACCAACAACAACAAAACAGCAACTGCAGCAGAATAATTGCAACGAACAGACAATGTAGCAGTCTTGCGCTTTCAGCATAAAATTACCAATACATTTACACACAGTGGCGCACACATGCAGAGTTTTTGAGCTCAAAGCTCACCCAGCCACATTGGATTAAGTTGAAAACATGGCGCGCACACATTTTTTATGCGCTTTTGAGCAAATTAGATTTCCTAATTAAATTTTCTAGCAAAATGCACATAAATTTCATAAAACAGCAAAAAAGGAAAAGTTTACCAACGTCACCATTGAGTGGCAATGTTAAGCAATAAAGAAGCAATGGTGCTGCTTCTGCTGTTTTTGCCATTTCGACAGTTGCTCCTCATGTGATCCAAGCACTGAATCCACTTTTGTAAGTACACATAAATGCTGCCCGCTAACATGGGTGCTGCCTTAGCTATTGTTGTTGTTATTAGACGGAACTTCAAGCATACCAGAGTAATAACTAACACAACGGCAACTAAAGTGGGTTGGGTTGGGATGGGTTATTTTGGGATCTTTTATTCAACACATACCGACTGAATATTATTACGTTGCTTAGCTAACATACACCCGTTCACTTTTATACGAACTTTATTTTGCATATGCTCTAAGTAATTAACTAGGAAAATTTTAATTGCTAATATGTGCTACGAGTTCTAACTGCCATATTTATATTCTGACGTTCATTTGGCGCGCTTCCTTGCATCCTTGCATACTAGCATCCCAGCAACTTGTTCGACACTCAATGACTTTTGTAGCGAACATAAAATTATTTTCAGTGTTTACTTTATATGCGGGGGTTTTCCGTAGGAGTGAGTATGTGATTATGCACTTTGGCTTTGAAAATTTGTAAGGATATGTGCGTTAGTTGAAAATTACCTCGTTTTATATAAATTGTTAATTAGAAGCGGTTTTACATTTATTTATGCAATTTTTCACTTTTCTGCTTAGACTCTTGTACATAAAATCAACTTGCATAGTTTTTTAATTAAAGAAATCAAAAGAAATTCACATTCACGTAATGAACGCAGAAAGCCTTAAGTTCTTTTAGATATTGTACACGATTTAGGTAATTTAATAATGATTTCTTATATAAAAATGGGCTAAAATATAGATTATATTAAATTGTTAAAGAACTGTAAAAGATGTATATATTTGTCATACACAGGAAACAATAGAATAAAATAGAAAAGAATAGAATTCTGGACTCCAACAGAAAAAAGTACTGTGATCATAACAGATCTTTTGTACAATTGACGAAGCAAACAGAAGGTAAATAGAATTTTAAAGAAAGATCAGAATGGTTCACGTATAGAGAGTTTCATATCAGTGTATAGTTTTTTCGGTCCAAATTCAAGTTAAAGAGTGTACTAAGAAAAATATGCTCTAACCGCATACTAGTTAAAGTGATCTGATCATGTCGTTCGAAAAATTTAAGCTCATGTGGTAAAGGAAATATGAAACCCAACATGTGGTATGGTTGAACCAACATCGAGTAAGAATATTTTGACGTGAGATTTAGTTAAAGTCTGCTTAAATCAACTAAATTATCTTTCTGAGTTTGCTAACAATATTTCTTGAAGTCTCATTTTTTTCCATATCCTGGTACATAAAACTTAAGCAGTTGTGAGGCATATTATTCTAAGATAATTATTAATTATTCTAAGATAATCTATAGTAGGTACACTTTTATATTTTAACACCTAAGCAGATAAAGAAACTTGTCAGATATCAAGACTAACCTTATCTAAATAGGATAAAATTCGTAAATTTGTGATTAAATTCGTTCCTGATTGAACATCTTAATTATTCTAAGATAATCTAGAGTAGGTACACTTTTATATTTGAACACCTTAGTAGATAAAGAAACTTGTCAGATATCAAGTCTAACCTTGTCCAAAATGGATCAAATTCGTACCAGCTGCTTCAGCTAAAGCAGAACCAACTCAATAGAACGTTGTTGGTGTTAACAATTCACTACGTATAAGGAAGGTAATAAAACTTGGTCTGTCCAGTATTAAATTTTGTCAGGGTTATGGCTCTGTAAATCTGTAGGAAACTATGTCAGTGCACATCATTGATTAAGAGAAGATTCGAAAAATCTTTCCTAACTGACATTACAAAGCTGTCATTTTTGAAAGTTAGATACATGACTAAATTTATAGATTTGTCGTTCTGTAATTATTTATTTTATTTATTAAATTATTGCAAAGAGTATACTAACTATAAGTAAGTCACTTTATATCTTATATATTACTAATTTTTCAAATTTCCGTATTCTCGCTTGCAAATACTACTTACCACTAGCACCTTCGTAGGTCTGAGTATATACAATACAGTGTTGAAAGCAAGGCTACAGTTTTATTCAGATCGTGGCACATCAGGAACTATTTAATATTACTTACACATACATATTTACATTACATAAGTATGTATTGTACAAAATCACATTTTATCAAAATATATTTCCTTATAACTTATCCGAAAACTGTAATTGCTTACAAAGGTAAGCAAGTGTTAAAAACTTGTATTCAATCATTTTTCTTTAAATATCTGTCACCGCTGATAAGTGGATCCTTCAAGAAAAATCAACTTACCACATTTTTAAAAAATATACAAAATAACTAAATTTCACAGACTATTTTAATTTTCTAAAAACCAATCAAAATCTCAACAATCCTTGCTTAACACAAACTTAGTTTTGAACCATGACCATTTTAAATTAATAGCGGGATAACTTAGGTTTTTGTTTTTGTTTATTTGAAAACCCATTGAGTTTTCCATGGGAATGTAACTCAATACGCGAAAAAGTGCACTTCATAGACATAAAATAATAAAAATTAAGAAGTACCTAAGCAACAAATTACTTCAGCGTCAGTCAATTTTCCTCTTAAGCGGCAATCTTCTGCTTAATTTTACATATCGAATTACAACGCGATCATTAAGCACGATCGATCCAAGCATCCAAAATGCCGTTGATTTGCGTTTTCCGGGTGCTTCCTTTGCTCCGTCATTGCTGGTGCGGCATTTGGATGGATGCGTGCGTCTGCAATGTAGCACACATGTGTGTGTTGTTGATCGTTGGCTTGTTTAGTCGCTTGTCATATTTGTTCATATTTGCAACAAATGCAATTGTGTCGGCAACAGTTTCTTTTTACTGCATCTTCAACTGCTGCAATGTTGCGCTATTTTTAAATGATTTGACGTCTGCATTTTGATCGGATACATACGTGAAAGTGGTTTTATTTGTCATCAATGGCACTGCATATTCCATCAAATCGTAGAGATGAGATTTTTCTGGGAATCTTACGCAAACAAAGTAGTTGGTAATTTTAATGATTTTTGAGTTTTTCGAAAGGTGTTTGAGGGAGCTACTTAATGATGTTTATATACATAAACAACGTTTAATTTCTGTTATTAATTTTAAATAATATATAAAATGCAAATTCCATTGCTTTTATATATAAGTTCGTATTTAAAAGATGCAGAACTGTATTTAAAAGATTACTAACACTGCCGTTAGACTCTGAAACAAGAATCTTATCAACGGTCAAATATTCAATACTAAATTAGTTTTATTCCAGACTTAACTTTTAATCAACTTTTAATTCGTTGAACTTGGGTTTCCAAATAAAGCCGTTGTTTATAAGCTTCTGCTAACTTAAAAAGCATGACAAGTGCTTTGGTTAATGTCACTTACAAATAAAATGATTAAAAACTTGGAACTTGGAGATTGAAAGTTCATGCAGGTAAATTATATAGGGACTATAAACTAATTAAATAAAAATTCGAATATTACCTAAGATCACTGGTGTTGAGTACTTGGCAATACTCGCAACAGCGTTGTATGGTCAGCCAAATTTCAATAAATCAATTACAATTTTTGTTGTTGTTTCTTAATTACTGTTCGAACCCTACTAATAGTTTCGTTTTGTTACAAGGCGCATCACATTTGACAAAAAATGTGATGTTGTTTCTTAATTACTGTTCGAACCCTACTAATAGTTTCGTTTTGTTACAAGGCGCATCACATTTGACAAAAAAAGTAACATTAACTATACTATAAAAATTATACATATTATAAAAACTGATATTACAATAGAAACAGCCATTTTATTATTATTGTTGAAGCTAGTTGAGTCAGTGCACTTGAGCACTTTTACTCTATTAACTGTGAGGTTTCTTCAAAACCCTTCTCTACTGGATTATTGTTTATCACTTCATCAGACTAAACAATAATTGACCTCAGATCTGCATACCTTCCCGAGGAGCCTGTAAACATTCTGAGATTCGATAACGCTTCCTACAAATTAAATCCATAGTTAAAGATTGGAAGTAGGCGCTGTTAACCTGTTCCTGTCACTTTTTGTGAAAAATTAACGTAAATCAATACTCGTATGCAAATAGTAGGGAGCGAAACTTTAAGAAATAAGGTAAGTGCAAATTTCTAGCTCTATACCCGAATACACGGGTTTCAAAATCAGAGTTATCTTCGAAATTTAACTTATGATTTTCCAAATTTAACCTTTCAACTTAAAATATATCGTCAATATAAGCACATCACATTAAACCTTTTGAATGTACTACAATATATGTATATAATATATTATTTAATACTGTAAAATCTTTAAACATATCTTTCAGTCAATTTATTTTCAATAACGTAGCCATATTTTGTTTTCAATTAGTTTCGAAAAAAAATTATTTTTCTTCAATCTAGTTAATTCGAGAATATTTAAATTTATGATATTTCATATAGTTTTTTTTCTGTAATGAAAGTTGTGAAACTTAAAAATAGACTTCAGTTCGAGACTATATTTTTGCTTTCGTTGGTGTATCTAAAATTATCCGTGCGTCTGCAAAGTAAATTAGTGACTAAAATATTTAATATTACGTTAAAAATATGGATTCATTCAATGTTCCTAAAAAGGTTAATAGACATGTATTATCTGCCCTCAAATTTATTTCACGTAATAAACCATACGGATATGTAATTAAGACGTCAGATATTATTGCTCGTGTCCGTCATCAAATGAGAAGTTTAATTCCAGTTGAAGATTTACCAAACGTTATTTTAAAATCACTTCATAATATGGAAAATCTACGTATAGTCTCAAAGGTAGGAAGCAATTACACGTATTGTAACCCAAAACAGGCTGCTATGACGCCAATTTTTCCCATCACAGCAGATGTCTCTACGCAAAATAGAATTGTTGAAGAAAATCGAGACAATATAACTAAGCCATTGGAAGTGAACACACCACAACAGCCTTCATCAGCCTCCGCTGAAGTAAGCAAAATTATTTGCTTATCATATGATAATAATATATATATTATTAAGACATTATATGTTATATGAATTTTTCTACAAATTGTATTTAGGGTTTGGTTTTGCCTGATGAAAGAGAAAAAGGTGACGTTAATGCATTGATGTCCATTGATGACAAAGTTGATGATAACAAGGAATCTTTGGAATGCAGTAATGGTGAGCACGTGCTAAAACGTAAACGTAACAATAAAAGGAAGAAGAAAGGTACGAAAACTGGTCGAAAAAACCCGAAGAAAATTAAGTCAGAACACAATCTACATGATAATGAGCTAGGAAAGATATCTGATGATATCAAATGTGCGGAGCGCTCTAACTGTGCTGAAGAAGTGCCATCCACTTCTCATAATGTGGATGAGAAAATTGATTTGGAGATGCTTATTACAGGTAAAAACTATATTATTAGTCAAAATCAGTTTAATGATATTGCTGTTGTTATATCAGATGATACAGAAAAATTCACTGACGATTTAAAACCCTTAACAAGTTCTCACTTAATGGAACCGGTACCTTCACCTTCATCCGACACATTAAACAAGCAAATGTCTTTTCAAAAGCAATCAACAACTAATCAAACAGATTACAAGGCGCTAAATTTAGATAACAAACTTGTATCTGCTAATCAATCAGTATATACGGATAAAAATAGTAAACCAGTTAAGGTTTACCATTTAAAACTTCAGGCTGCTGAAAAGGTAGAAAATGAAACCGAAAATCATGAATGTACAGCACCTTTAATGGTACATGATTCTAGTAAAATAGAGTCTACATCTCCAGTGGCTAGTGTTGCTCCTAACGTATTGCAACGTAACCTTTCTACGGCTGAATTCGCTGATGCTATAGCAGATCTTAAAGAGGCCTTGATAAATGATTATGAAAAAAGGCATGAAGAACAGTAGATGATAACGAAGATATCAAGAAAAAGGCATTTAATGCTATATTATCTGATAAGAACTAAATCTGAAAGTAAACTGATTGATAACTAAAATAATACTTTAAAACTACACAAATAACTCCACAAATATGCAATTATAAAACGATAGTGCAGCCAGCAGTCATGGATAGTTAATATATTTTATAAAATTGTTAAGACTATATTCAATTAAAACAAAAATAAATATAGCAAAAATAAATTTATTTTGGATATATTAACAATATTTTAAATATTATATACGCATAAAACTTACGAAAGTATTTTATAATAAATTCAGTAATTTTAATTTTGAAATTATTTGAAATTTTACTGTATTAATTTAATACCAGGTGGGAATATTAAATGATATGCAGAGAACTGTACGCAAGAGAAATCAAGCTTTCTCAATAAGATGACCTGTACGAATAACAGTTTTGTAGTGGATTTGTTGACAAGTCTTAGCCGCTTAAGGAACTATGCTGGAATATTCAATCTCCTGTTAAATGATGCCTATCATAGCTGTAAGGGAAATGCCTCACAACTGCTTTGGGAATGTTCGCAACGATGATTAATTATACTAGAGACTTAATTTTCAGTAAATCTTAGAATAGATATTCCTTTAAAAAACGTTTTAGGCTTTTGTAAAGGTTCAATACGGTTTTTGAGCCCACTTATGGTATCGCAAAAGTCTAATTTGTCGATGGATTCTCACTACTATAGCCTAATCTAACTTGTATAAACTTCCATGATATATAATATTTTTATTAACTATCTTTACTCTTCTATATAAAATCGAAGATGATGTTTACTATATATTAATTACTGTAAGAAATTATCTTCAACCCAAAATTACGTTATATTGAATTTTTATTAAAAATAATACTTAACCTGATCATTTTGTTAGAAAATTTTTAGCTGATGTGGTAAAGAAGGTATGAATAGGGTTCGACTAAGAATATTTTAACCTCAGATTTAGTTAAATTTAGTTAAATCAAACAAATTATTTTTCTGAGTGAATATTATACTACTTATTGAGTTCATTTAATAAGTACATAAGTACATAATAAACGATACTATTAATAATTAAACTTAGCTTTGAATAAAGTAACTCTCAGATTATCTTACATTATTTTAAAAGATTTTTATAATGACAATGAGTAATAATCAGTTGTGTAGAAAGTCTTAAACTTTCGCTTTATCTCAAAGTTTTCTTTAACAACTATTTACTACTAACAATTTTTTTTTTGCTGAAAAACACTGATCATCTTTTTTTATTGCAGGAACTCTTGGTTCTAAAGACTTTACTATTGACGGTTTGAATGGTTTCGGTAACAAGAAAAAGAAGAAAAAACGTCGTCACAGCCGCACCATTTTTACAAGTTATCAATTAGAGAAACTCGAAGAGGCCTTCAAGGAAGCACATTATCCTGATGTGTACGCCCGTGAAATGTTGTCGTTAAAAACTGAATTACCTGAGGATCGCATACAAGTAAGTAATTTAATATTTTTCTAAATGATTACCACACAAAAAAAATTCATTCAAAAATGAAAGATATAATAAAGCAATTATACGTTGATTAAAACAGAATAAAAATAAACTAATTATTTTTATTTCCTCTAATTTCCCTTAAAAATGTCGACTGAAATTCATTTGGAAATCCACTAAATGTGCAGGTGTTCATGTATTTGAGGTGTTCATTGTTGGCAAAACATATTTAAATCTTTTCTTTCGTTGACTACATCCTTTTATTAAGGAAGAGTCTACATATATTTTTTTAAAGGATTAAAAAAATTTGAAGTTGAATGCATTTTTTGAAATCTTAATTGTTTAGATTTTTCGCTGTTGATTTTTCACACCTTCTTTGAATGCTGCCATCAAAATTATTTCGCAATTCATATTTCAGTTGGTCATTTGCCTTGAATGTGATTTTACGTATAATTTTATTATTATATGAATTTGTGAATTTGTATTTTTATTATATAAAAAATTTAATCTAATACAAATTAAGCAATTAAAATTGTTTTTAATAAAACTAAATTCTTGATTTATTCATTTTTGAGGTATAGTAAAGTGAAATGAGCTTTGATTTAATTTATTGGCTCTATTTATTTTAAATTAAAATATTTAAAATATTTATTTGAAACTGTTTACTCAAAAACCAAAATCTAATCAAATTGAAAATTAATAATTATTAATATTTATATATAAATTATTTTACTCCGAACGAAATCAATAATAAATGATCATTTGAATAAAAACAGTGGTTCGTATCTATAAATTAAAATTAATTAATATAATTATTTCTATTGTTATGAGTCATCAAATGTCCATCATTGCCATAAACTATATTTTATGTAAAGTGTTGAGAGTGCAAAAATTAAATAAATGCTATTTTGAACTCTTCTGACAAAATTATTATTGTCTATTCTGTTTATTGTTAATTAATTTTATAACCATTTTATAAATAACCAGCTTAATTATTGTAACATATTTGGCTGACAGTGGCAGTGATTTTATTTCAGAGTACTGTGTCTGTAATTACAATAAAATTAAAAAAAAACATGACAGAGATTCCTTTAAAAATTAAAACTCAGCGATGAAACAAACCCTTTGTCCATCAAAACTATTAAAAAAATATATATAATCTACAGGTTACAGGCTCCTCGGGGAGGTATACAGAACTGAGGTCAATTATTGCTTAGTCTGATGAAGTGATAAACAATAATCTAGTCTAGGTGTTAAGAGGGGTTTTGAAAATACCTCGAGTTAAGAGTAAAAGTGCTTAAGTGCACTGGCTCAACAGCTTCAACATAGTAATATAAATACACAAAAAAATAAATTTTAAAAATCATGAAATAATTAAATAATTTTTAACAATAAAAGCAATAAATTGAATTGCTTGAGCAAAGTTAATTTCTAAAATGTGATATTAATCGTAATGCAAACATAGCTTATATAGCAAGGCTAAAAAGAGAACACAATTTTTTTTTGATTAAAGTTATTTTCCAGATTTTTTTTGAAGAAAGGTCCATCTCCTGTAATCTGAGCCTACAGGTTTGATTTACCTTACACATATGTTGGACAAAAACAAAGCAGACGTAAAGCAGACCTGCAGCAAAGCATTAATTAAATCGAATATTCAATCAGTGATCCATCACTGTATTCACTTTAGATGATGTTAGGTTAAGCTGTAAAGCCATAAGCCACATATAGATCTAATGGATTTTTGTTGCACTTAACGGACCTTCTTTAGACTTGCAATCGGGATCACGTAGTGTATCAAAATTTATAGCAATTCTTGAAAACCCTTTCTTTAGACTTGAAATAGGCATTACGTGGGGTATCAAAATTTTTAGTGGTTATTGAAAACTCTTGATGTTTTATTTCTACTAATTTTATACATCGGTCTATATCGGTAAATAATATTTTATTTCCAGGAGGCTAAGTTGTATACAAATATTTGCATACCAGTCTCAACACATAATAACATTAGTAAAAGAAATGTTTTGCTTAAAAATGAACTTGTCTTATTAGCAAATAATTTACCCTATAATACTTTACGGAATTTGTTCAGATGGTAATGTTGCTTTATTCACTGTAAAAGAAACTTAACATATGCTAAAAGCTTCATGGTATATTAGAAGTGATGATATACATAAAGACTTGGGCGTTAAGGGGGTGCAAAAATAGTGAAGATCAAAAACACAGCGCTGAAGTTGTTTACTTCTATACTTCTATGGATGTAATATTTATTCTTACACCAAAATATACTAAGCTTCAAACTTGACTTCTGCAAAATTACTTAAGTAACTCATTATAACAATTCAGTGGAAGTCTTGTTACAGTGAACACCCAAGTTGTTACAAACACATAAATGAAAGTGCTGTGATACTAACTCGTTTTTCATCAAACAAAAATAAAGAAAAATAAAGCTACTAAGGCAACTAACTTGACATGGAATAATACATAGAATATCAACTGTACGAATACAAAAAAATGAGATTCAAATATTAGTATTCAAATATGATATGCTTTACTTAATTACCTACTGTTGCCATCTTCTCCATGTAGAGCATAGGGCCTCTGTGATATGCATTAACTTAGTTCAAATTCAATATATACTTATACATATATATAATGGTTAATGATATTTGGAGGTTTTCGAGTTAGGCTAAGGCTCCTATGCAATGCGATCAGTTTGATCTATTGTGCACCCTTTTGTATGTAGATATTTAGTATCTTGAGGAATCGAACTAGCTCCTTCGGAGAGAGTGTTCAAAGGTCTTAATCCTCTAGTTGGTATGTACCTAAAATTTTGTTTCTTCTGTGGCCTAGTGCATCACAGTTGGTGATCAGATGTTCCATAGACTCTTCCTCATCACAGCAGAATCTGCAAATATTAGTGTCTGATAGACTTATTTTACGTATGTGTTTATTACATGCGGCGTGGCATGTTAGTGTACCAGAGAGTGACTTTAAACTCTTCTTGCAAAGGTTGAGAGCGGTGTTTGCTCTTTTGGCATCAAAATTAAAGAATTTTTTGGAATGATATAGACCGTCTATTTCATTCCAGTATTCATAAATATATATAAATAGTTACTCTTTAAAAAAATTAAATGTGTATTAATATTATATATGAATATATATAATTCCAATATAAAATTTTGAAGACATTCACTGCGCTTACATTTGACAATCCTTAAAACACTGAAATATACCAATTACGGTTTATGTATACCGAGACTTATATGTACCTCGAGGCATAAACGAGTGATTTTAAAGGCAATGAAATTGAGCTGAGGCAGCAACATTAAACATTTAATAGGCAATTTCAACACGTAGCGCTCCAAATAAAATCAACCTAAAAAGCTGGTAATCACATATGGCTGTTGGCGAGACATTTTTAATTCTTTTTCTCTGGTTTTTGTTCTGTTAATGGTAATGCTTGGTTTGCTCAAGTAATTGTTCCAGTATATAAATATGAATAAAATTAAAAAAAAATCATTAATATATTTAAGGAAGTTACTTACGATGTTCATATGAACATATATAAATTCAGTTTTTTTTTTAATATTTATGCAAACAATGCCAACGTTACTTAATTACGATGACGTTGCGGTTGAAGGCTTAACGTGTTTATTGGGTATAAAAAAGAGTAGAAAAAAATCTGAATATTGTATGCGTTTGCGAATTCATAATTAAGTATTTTAATGGCCGATGTAAGTGCGAAATTGCAAAATTACCACCCTTAAATGAAGGATAAATGAATGAATGGTTAATATTATGGCGTACACTCAATTAATGCAATTTCTTCATTTATTTGCTACTTTGCTTTCCTGAAATTATGTATGATATAAACTTGCTAATGATGCCGAATTAAGAGCATTTAAAAATTTGCTAAAAGCATTCATAATAAATGACAATAACTCATAATATTCATAATACTTTTAGATACTTATAAATATATGTCAGATATCAAACATATTTATATACCTATATGTTAGATAGAAAAAAAAAACAAATGATTATAAATGCAGCTCATATCGTCATAGATTTCTAATTTAATGGTAAAATAATTTTATATCTTTCATAGGTATAAGTTCTATGCATTTCAATTCACTCAGTTTTACTAAAATTTTGAAATTTATTTCTCATTTTTAGCAAAATTTTGAAATTTATTTCTCTTTTAAAATGGATTTTGAAACATGTTCTAAAGAATATTCCATTTCATGGTAAACATTTTTTCTAATTGAATTAATCAAGTTAAATAAGAATTCATTTTTAAACATCATTTTAAAAGTATATAATTTTTATATATGGATTTTCACTGTATTTCCAAAAACTACAGAAATACAGATGCACTTTACATTGCCTAATGCAAGTTCAATGGCAATGGTTTTAAATTACAGGTCACTAACCCACAAACTAGGCATACAACTAGCAATTTTGTAGTTAAAATAATTCTAACCTAAAACCAACGCAGCTCGTATGCGTAAATACGATTGCAAAACAAAAAAAAACGTAGTAGAAAACGTAGTAGAAAATTCAGTAGAAAAAAAAACTGAATTGTAAAAGCACCCAATGAACACAAGCGCTTATAATTAACCCGACACAAAACCCTACACAACCACAACTACGAACACGCATACCAACACACATACATTTCCATATATGCAAATTGACTATAGTAACTCTTTAAATACATTTGCGAATACATCCATACTCGTATGTATGGCTGTATGCTTGTAGAGTTGCAACTATATGAGTGTGTAGTATGTGTTTTTATAAGCTTCTTGCTGATTGTGCTGTTGCCGTGTCTGCTGCTTGGCATGGAAAATTAACAATTTTTCAATTAAAATCAATACAAGAGTTTTTGGGGTTTTTTACCACTTAGCTTAAAGGTTCTTCCGTCGCTACTCTTTGCACTTGAAACGTTTACATTTGCTTGGATATGTGTGTATATAGGGTACGGCATGTAGCACTAGCAC